GAGATTAATTTGTAGTTTTGTCTTTTGGGCTACTTTCTCTGATTTTGGTATCAAGATAAAACTAGATAAAATAGATAAAATGGCCTAGTTTTTAATAGGTTAGTGCTTCTACCAAAAATGAGGAAAGGTAATAAAAAAAAAAAATTGGAGAAAACCAGAAGGCAAGGAAGCAACGAAAACATAAGGGAATAAAATTGCAAAGAGGGCAGACCTGTTAAAGGTGAGCTGAGGATTTGAAGTTGTCCCTGGAGGCCTTTGAGAAACCTAGGAGTAGTAACAGACTGAGAATCTGGGTTAGGTCCAGGCAGAAAGTAACTACTGCCTGGTGGAAAAAAAAAAAAAAAAATCACTGAATTTCTGTTGCTTCCATGGGGCTGAAGTGCCAAAATTAGAAATCTCAGGGCCAGTTTTCTCCTCAAGACATTTTCTGAATTCTAAAGCTATACAGTCGAGGAAAATAATGGTCTAAGCCAAAACCTTTCAAAAGCAAAGTAAGATTTCCTGCAGTTTCACAATATTTCAGAAAAAACAACTCACTAGTGGGAGTGTTCATAAGAATCACAGGTGGCAGCTTGAAAGCTCTTGAGGGATAAATGAATTGATACCGACAATCTCCAATCACAGTTTTTACTGTTAGCAATTGCTGATCTGGGTAAGACACCTACTCAGGATATTTGCCAAATTTTAAAACTGTAAAAAGCAGGAAGCTGAAGAGCTAAGTTTATATGAAAAGTGGAAATTTCCACAGTCCTCTTGGTACTGAAGAGACAATAATATGCCAGGCTCTCATTAAAAGCTCTGAAGAACCACATCCTAGCAACAAATGTAAACCAAAGGTACAACACAACTGCAACCCAAGCTCAATCCAGATCAGTTCATAATTGGATTAAGGTGATGAGGTTCAAACCACAAACGACCCACTCAGTTTAACTACTTAGTAAGGGAAAGGATGAAACAATTCTGGTGGCAGAAGATATTATCTGGAACATCTATTAAAATATATTTTAAAAATAATGTCTACCATATACCAAAAATTGATAGGAAGAGATAGGACCATATGACTGATAACAGCAACAACAATAAAACTGAGAAACAAATCTAACCAATATGTAGATGAATTACATGTAGTGAATTACATGTAGTGAGAAACAAATCTAACCAATATGTAGGTGAATTACATGTAGTGAATTACATATACATAAGTATCTTTAAAACAACTTCAGAGGAGTAGGATCAAGACAGTGGATTAAGAGGACATGGAGCTCATATCCCCTCAAGAACAAATCAAAATTACAAGTCAAAAAATTCTCACTGAAAACAAACTGGAAACTGACAGAAGAAACCTAATATGAAAAAGGTTGGAAGAAAAATACACAAGTAATCAAGAAGGATGAAGAAAATGATGGGGTTGGGCCCTGTGTTCCTGGGAGGTGACTCAGAGTAAAAGAGAATACACGGGTGGACAGCTGCCCAGGGGAGTGAGCAGTGAAAGCCATAAATTAGATGCCCAAGTCCGGGGTCCTATGCAGGAGAGACAAGCTTTCTTGGCTGGTTTGAGGGCCACTGGCACTATTGAGAGGGCAGGGAGAAGTCCGCGGCCCACTCATGAGGAGCACATTCATACACCAATACAGGGTGGAAAGAGGTATGCTCGAGAGGCTGCCAGGTTTCCCACAACCACCTCAGTGCGTGACTCAGCCCGAGCTGAGCCAGTGCACCGTGGCTATTCACTCCACATCTCAGCAGGGTATTAAATCTGTTTAATTTAGCAGGGTGGTCATGACCAGGGAGAAAAGTCGATCTTGGGATGCAGAAGCAACCTGGTCTTTTGGTGGAGCCTGGTGGGGGGCGATCATTGTTGATGCTTACTCAAGCAGAACATCACAAGCAACCCAGATCTCTGATGGTAGCACTCAAGCATAGCTCACCTCCTGACACACACTGAGTCAACATAGGCAACAACACTATAATGTGGTTCCCGAACAGGGAGGGGGAGCTGGGACAGAGGGCAGTGATCAGCTGTGAGGGACAAAGAGGACTTGGACCTGTGGCTCAGTCAGAGCAGAGTAAGGGAAACAAATGTGGGATTGCATGCAGGCAGCGCATCAGAGACAGCTTAAGCCTCTGCCTGTAATCAACACAAGCCAAGGGCCCCCAAGGACCCAACTGACTTCAGTAGTTCCCACCACCTAGGTAAGGCTCCCAGGGTGGAAAAAAGGGGAAAGACACAGTTAAAGGGACAGAGCTGGGCCCAGGCCAGGTCCTCAGGGCTTCTGTTCCAGGAATTTGGAATCAGACCCCACCCCCATAGGGTGTTGATGGCCACTGGGCAGAGGGGAAGCCCCATTTCACACCAGGCACAGACTCCAGCTCCTCCCTCTGGAGCCCCACTCTCTACCAAGCTGATGCTATCAGCACACCCTGAGGAAAGTTATCACTGTGACTTGGTTCCCATCAAATGCAGCTCTCCCACCAAATGCACACGGCACACATCGGGTTGCTGCCACACAGAACATCTCTTCAAGATCACAACAGGTAACTGTTTCACCTAAACTCATAGAAACAGATAAGTTAAGCAAAATGTAAAGGCAGAAGAACCATTCTCAACTGAAAGAACAAGAAAACACACCTGAAAAAACAATAAAACATAAATAAATAATTCATCTGATAAAGAATTCAAACCATTGGTTATAAAAAATATTTACTGAATTAGGGAACAGACTGTATCTACACAGTGATAACTTTAATAAAAAACTAGAAACTGTTTAAAAAGACCCAATAAGAAATGAAGCATTCAATGGTTGAAATTAAAAACACACTAGGAAAAATGAAGAGCAAACTAAGTGATACAGAAGAACTTGTAAGTGACCTGGTAAAATAAAGACGATCACCCAATCCAAACAGTAAAACAGAAAACAAAAAAAGAGCAAATTGTAAAAACTCAAAACAGTCAGAGTTCTCTGGTATATACTACTACAGAAAAATCAACAAAACCACAAGGGAAGATACAAAGGGAAGAAAAAATGAACAGAGAAGAACTATAAGAACAATCAGAAAATAAGTGACAAAATGGCAGTAACTATATACCTATCAATAATTAAGTATCAGTGGACAAATGCTCCAATCAAAAGATATAGGGTGACAGATTAAATGAAAAGAGAAGACCCTTCTACATGCTGCTTGAGATTCACTTCAAAGTAAAATACACAGATAGAAAGAATGTGAGGAAATGAAAATGGTATTTCATGCAAAGAGAAATAATAAGAAACCCAGGGTAACAATACTTGCTTCAGGTGAAACAGACTTTAAAACAAAGGCTATAACAAAACACAAAGAAGGGTATTATTCCATGATAAGGGGATCGATACAAGACAAGGATATTATATGCATTAATATGCACACCCCAAGAGTACCTAAATATATGAAGCAAATATTTACAGACATGAAGGGAGAAACTGACAATAACACCATAACAAAAGGGGACTTTCACACCTCACTTGTCCCCTTGTGGCTCAGTGGCAAAGAATCTGCCTGCAAATGCAGGAGACATGAGTTTGATCCCGTGTTCTTGCCTGGGAAATCTCATGGACAGAGGAGCCTGGCAGACTATAGCCCATGGGGTTGCAAAAGAGTCAGACACACTTTAGTGACTACACAACACCTCACTTACCTCAGTGAACAAACATTCTAGACAGAAAATTTATCATGTAACAGCGGTCTTNGATAACCCTATATGCAAAACAGTCTGAACAATTTTAAGGAGAGAGATATTATATCAAGCATCTTCCCCCATTACAATTGTATAAAATTAGAAATCAATTACAGGAAGAAAAATGGGAAAAGCACAAATGTGAAGGCTAAACTATATCCTACTAAAAAACCAACTAATTGAAGAAGAAATCAAAGAGGAAATCAGAAAACAAGTTGTGATAAAGAAAAATGGAAACACAAAAGTCCAAAAATCTATGGCATGCAGAAAGCAATTCTAAGAGAGAAGTGTGCAGTGGTGCAAGCCTTTCTCAAGAAATAAGTAAAACCTCAAATAAAGTACCTAACCAATCACTTTTTAAAAAATTAGAAAAAGAAGAACAAAGTCAAGTCATCAGAAGGAAGGAAATAATAAAGATTTGAGAGAAATGAATAAAACAGAGATCAATAAACAATAGGGAATCAATAAACAAGAGGGAAAGAGGAAGGGGAAAGACAGAAGAAAGGGATTAAGAGACACAAACTACTGTGTATCAAATAGATAAGCAACAAGGATATACCATATAGCACATTTGGAATTATAGCCATTATCTTAGAGTATAATCTGTAGAAACACTGAAACACTATGCTGTGAAGTTGAAACCAATATAATGTTGTAACTTTTCTTCTGGCTATGCTGTGAGAAACGTGGGATCTTTAATTCCCCAGTGAGGCATCAAACTCATGCCTCCTGCATTGGGAGCAAGGAATCTTAATCTCTGGACCACCAGGGAAGTTCCTAATATAATACTGCAAATAAATTATACTTCAGTTTTTAAAAGGCTGTGATACATATGCTCAAGAAAATAGAGAAAAGATAGACAAATTAGAAAAATCTTGGAGAATTTTACCAGAGAATTTGAGGATGTTAAAAAAAATTAAATGGATATTATAGAATTAAAAGATACATATCTAAAATTCTAACTCCTAATTTTCTATTTTATTTCCACCAAGGCATCCATCATGTGTTGTACTAATTACTTTGAAGTTAGGAGGGATATATAAGCAGACATAATATTATGAATCATTTCCAGAATAAACAAAATGCAAATGTCAATGAAAAAAAGAAGTCTTAGAATAAGATGGAAGAAGTCTGTAAATCTTGTTAAGGGATAATTACAATGTGAGATTTTATACCCATAGCTTCCTAGCTAGTTACAGCAGAAACAAACATACAAACATCTTTCACCAAACTAGATTTTAAGAAATCTTTTTTCTATATGACGGACAAAATAAAAGCAATTGTCACTTACAGGAAGGTGTGTGAATACAGCAAAGGTGCTACGTAGAAAGGCAATGAGATCCACTAGATAATCACTGGCTTTGCTGCCCAAATCTCCTGTCATCCAGTCATAGTCAGCCAGCTGTAGGAACTGGTCAATCTTCTGATTTAAGTTGGTATAAATCTCTTCTTCAGCTGCATGTCTGGCATCCTATGAAATATGAAATTTTAATAATCATTCAGAATTGCATTACAAACAAAGCAGAAATTTCTGCTTGGAAACATCTCAAACTAAGTAACATAATTTAGAATATCAAGTAATATTACAGTCTCCATTAATTTTTCTTTTTTTCAGAAGCTCAGTAGAATCTTTTCTATTTTGTGTCTGCAAGACAAACTATTACTTAGATTTACCAAATAAGAAATTGCCTTCACTGCCCTCAGCTATCTGCATCCTTTTTACCTTCTTATCCATCCATCAAACTACACTCAACCATCTATGAACAAACTATCAAAACTATACTCATTCTCAGGATCCTGTTCTCTTCTCTTCTGGGATTCCAAGAACCTCCCTCTTGACAATACCAACCCCTCTTAAAATTGCTATCTTCACTTTCCTTATCATAGGTTTCCTGAAGTTCCAAATTTAATGCTGTTTGTTTCCACTAGTTACTATCCCACCTTTCTAGATTCTTTATAATGAAGTTCCTTTAAAGATGGGCGCACATTTACGAAAATTATCAATTTCAGGACTAATTAACAATAGTCCTGAAAAGTGCGTAAACAATAGCAAAAAAATGTTCCTAAATCAAGTAAGTTTGAGAAACCCTATTTAAAAGAGTTGTGATGTACAGTGGCATATAAAAGGTGCTAAGAAGTGTCATGGAACTAAAGCTCCAAGAAAAACATTTTTAGGGCAAAACAGTCTAAACTGAAACGCTAACAATCCATCAATATAGATTGGTCCAGGGTAATTCGCCAGGCTACCATATCTAATACTCATTTTTCAGGCTGATCTTACTTGACCTTCCTTTGTTAAACATCCTCTGCTATAACCCTGTTCCTTTTTTGGCTTTCAGGACATAGTTTTTCTTTTACTTTTCTGGCCTCTAATCCTCTCACTTTTGCTGAGTGATTTCATCATCTCCTATGCCTTTCACTATCTCTGTCCAAACCCATTCTTGTTAAAGACACATATATCTGATTGTTTCCTGCATTATGGTTCACAGAAACTTTAAATATTATTTTAGGTCCAGGACTTGAAGAACTATAATCCCCACTCTCGTCTGTTCATTTCAGTTCAAGGCAGAGATCTAAGCAACATATTAGATTCCACTGATTCTTCCATAGTCGGTCACTATGTCCTATAAATTCTAGCCTCCAAATTTTACACTAATTCATAACCTCTTCTCCATTTTCACCTTTTAAATACCTGCATAATTTTGCAAGGTATTTACATATTCTGATATAGGCATTGACTATGTTTACTTATATGAACAGTTACAAGAACATTTCTCTGATTACTTGCTTATTTACTTACTTGTATGATAATCTAATATCCTTGAATTCCCATTTTACTACATTTTCTTTTAATAAACATTATTTTCTAGAAATTTTGGCTTGAAGAAAATTTGAGCAGAAAGTACAGAGAGTTTACAGATACTGCACCCCTGTCTCCCTCCTACTGTTTCCCCTATTTAAAAAAACCCTTGAGTTAGTGTGGAACATTTGTTACGACAGATGAACCAATATTGATATTTTATTATTAACTAAAGTCTATAGTTTGCATCAGGTTTTACTATTCATGCTGTACAGTCCTATGGGTACTTACAAATGGATAATGCCATGTATTCACCATTACAGTCAGAATCATACAGAAGAGTTTTCTTGCCCTAAAAATCCACTATGCTCTGACTATCCCTACCTTGTTTATCCCCCAAATCTTGGAAACAACTGATCATTTTACTTTCTCCGAAATTTTAACTTTCTTGAGTGTCTTATACTTAGAATCATGTATGTAGCTTTTCAAATTGCCTTATTTTACTTAGCAATGTGCAGTTAATTTTCCTCCAGGTCTTCTGTGGCTTGATAGTTCACTCCTTTTCATCACTGAAAAATGTTCCATTGTCAGGATGCATCACAGTTTGTCTATTCATTCACCTACTGAAGGACATCTTGGTAGTTTTCAAGTGCAGGCAATTATGAGCAATGCTGCTGTGGCCATTCATGTGTAAGTTTTCATGTGGATTAAGACTTCAATTCACCCCTTACCAAGGAACATGACTGCTGAATTGCATGGTAAGACTATTTCTGTTTAGCCTTGTAAGAAACTGACAAACTTTCTTCCAAAATAACATTACCATTTTGCATTACCGTAGGAGATGGCTGGATGGCATCACCAACTCAATGGACATAAGTCTGAGCAAGCTCTGGGAGTTGGTGATGGACAGGGAAGCCTGGCCTGCTGCAGTGCACGGAGTTGCAAAGAGTCAGACACGACTGAGCAACTGAACTGAACTTTGCATTCCCACCAGCAATGAATGAGAAAGCTGCTACTGCCCCAGCGGTTGTTGTCACCATTTCGGGTTTCAGTCATTTTAAGAACTGTACATGGTATCTAACTGTTGTTTTAATTTATAATACCCTTTCCAGGCTCTGGTGTGATATCTGGTCAGATGTTTCGCCCATTTTTAGAGTAAACCCATATTAAACCCAGTTTTTAAAATTTGGTTATTGTTGAGCTTTACCAGTTTTTTTTTTATCTATTAGATATTTTTTTGGATTTATTAGATATGACTTTTACAATATTTTCTGATTGTCTTTTCATTTTCTTAACAGTGTCTTTTCTACAGCAGCAGTTTTTCATTTTAATGAAGTCCAACTTAGTATTCTCTTTGATGGATCATGTTTTGGTTGTTGCACCTTAAAAGTTTCATAGTCAAACTCAAGGTCACCAACATTTTCCCTTATATTATCTTCTAGGAGTTCCATTGTGTTGTGTTTTACCTATAAGTCTGTGATCCCTTTTGTGTTCATCTTTAACTCAATTAACTCAAATTTTCTTGAGTTTAATTCAAACTGAAAATTTTTTTTCGAAGAGACAGGTGATATATATGTATACTTAGAGCTGATTCACATTGCTGTACAGCAGAAAACAATACATTTTATAAAGAAATCATCCTCCAATCAAATTGTTTAAAAATTTCAGGAGAAAAACCATCAAAATTTTAACCCAATTTTGAAGTGTAACACCTGTGTCTAGATTTCTTTCTTTTTCTTTTGCATGTGGATGACAAGTTGTTTCAAAACCATTTATGGAAAAGCCTTTCATTTCTCCATTAAACTGACTTTACTCCATGTCAACAATCAATTGATTATATTTCTGCGAATCTATTTCTGGGCTACCTATTTTGTTCCCTTGACTGAATTTTTTTTTTTTATATACCATTATCACATCATCTTGTTACTGTAGCTTTACAGTAAATCTTGAAGTCAAGGAGTGTCAGTTCTCGAACACCGCTCTTCTCTGTCAATATTGTGTTGACTGTACTGGGTGTTTTGCATTTCCATATAAAATTCAGAAACAATCTGTCAATATCCAAAAAATGATATTTGCTGGAATTTGGACTGGGATTGAATCTTTAGATTAAGTTGAAAAGAACTGACATACTCATAAAATAATAAATCTACTTATCCATGAATATTTATAAAATAAATATCTCCATTTATTTAGATCTTACTTTTTTGACTACTTTGTATCAGGGTTTTAAAGATTTCCTCATATAGATACTGTTTATTTTGTTAGATTTACACATATTTCTATCCTACTTCAATGTTAATGTAAATAGTATTGCATTTTCAATTTCAAACTCATTATTCATTACTGATACAAAGACAGACCAAATGACTTTTGTATATCACTTTTATAATCTGAACCTTGTTACAGTCTTTTATTACTCCCAGTAGTCTTTTTGTTGTTGTTAATCCTTTTACATTTTCTACTTTGTCAATTATGTCATCTGTAACCGAGATCAGCTTTATTTCTATCTTCCCAATCTGTAAGGGGCTTTGCTGGTGGCTCAGTAGTAAACAACCCGCCTGCCAATGCAAGAGATACAGCTTCAATTCCTGGTTTGGAAGATCCCCTGGAGAAGGAAATGGCAACCCATTCCAGTATTCTTGCCTGGGAAATCCATGGACAGAGGAGCCTGGTGGGTGATAGTCCATGGGGTCACAGAGTTGGACACTGCGACTAAACAGCAACATCCCAATCTGTAAATCTTTGATATCAAGGCTTACTGAGCATTGAAGAAGAATGGCACAAAAGAACAACCTTGCCTTCTTTTTTCATGATTTTAACAGGAAAGTTATGATGTTATTTGTAGGACTCATGCAGATGTTCTCTATCAAGTTGAGGAGATTTCCCCCCGCCCCTATTAAAGTTAGCTGAGATGTTTTATCATGAATAGTTGTTGGATTCTGTCAACACATTTTCTACATTTACTGATATGATTCTATTAATCTAATTGTTCTTCTGTATACAGCCCATTGATATGATGAATACATTACTTGATTTCTGATGCTGAATAAGTCTCAAAGACCTAGAATAAATCCCACTTGGCTGTCATGTATAATTCTGATACATCACTGGATTCAATTTAATAATGTTTCATTGAGGATTTTACATCAATGTTCATGAGAACTACTGTTCTGTAGTTTTCCTCTCATACAACATCTGGTTGGTATTCGGATACTACTGAACTTATACAATGAATTAGGGCTTCCCAGGTGGCTCAGTGGGAAAGAATTCACCTGCCAATGCAGGAGCCACAGGAGATGTGGGTTCAATCCCTGGGTCAGAAAGATCCCCTGGAGAAGGAAACAGCAACCTACTCCAGTACTGTTACCAGAATAATCCCAAGGACAGAGGAGCCTGGCGGGCTACAGTCATAAAAAGTTGGACATGACTGAGCAACTGAGCACACATGATGCCTACAGTGAGTTAGGTAGTATTTCCTCTGCTTCTACTTTCTAGAAAATATCATAAAGAAGGGGTGAAATTTTACCCTTAAATATTAGGTAGAATTCTTTCAGCTTAATTAGGATATAATTGAGAAGTTGCAAGATATTTAAAATGCACTACATAATACTTAAATACAGGGACACACTGCAAAAAGATTCCCCACATCAAGTTAATTAACATATCCATCA